AACAACAATAAATATCTACTCACGAAACATATTTCAAAACATACAGAAAAACAATAAAATTCAATGGATTCCTCATATCACATACTTTGTCTTGTCTTGCTTTTGCTCTTGTTCCCAGCTCCAAGATATTACGGTGCACATCCAGCCACCCCAGTTGTTCCTCCTGGTGTCTTCCCACTTTGCCCTTTTTGTCTGCCCTAAAACATGTGGTTTTTGGGCGTCGTTCTCCGGCTACGGGACTTTTCTTCTTGCTTCCTCCTCCGCCTGGTCCTTTTTTCGATTAGCAGACAGACACCACGGTCACAGTGCCCCCCGTTTCTGGAGGAAAAAGTCCTGGTATTGGAAGATCATCCTTGGTTCAGGACTCTGGGAAGTGTTTTCTCAGCCAACGTGCTTTGGCCCAGGGATAAATAGCTTCTGCCAACAATAAACGGTTTGCTTTCTCCTGCTTGCACAGGATCTCCACCTTCGTCGCACAGCAGGCCGGCTCGCCAAGGGGGCTTTGGTGGGATACGGATGGCCTTGCGGAAGCGAGTGGTGGTTGTATGGAGGGACCTGCCAGTCGACGTGTTGATGCCTTCACCACAGAGACTGCTGCCGCCAGCCGAAATGCTAGTTGCTCTGTCTGCTGTGAAGGAGAGTTTTAAGAGTGAAGAAAAACTTGAGCCCATATTTCCAGCCACCGTTTTATTAAAAAACGCTAATGTAAACCTCTACTTTAATGTGTATAAATAAGACTATGTATATCACATCTCTGAGGTCTACCTGTGGCTGCAGAAGCATTTTGAGTGTGGCACAGCATACTCTCTGATCCTCACTTGGCCTGCGTGACTCTGCAACACCTGGGACTGGCCAGTATTGCCAGTTCTGAGACTAGCTGGTACTGTGAGATGAAAGAAGAGGGATCAAGTCACAGTCCCCTTTGGAAAAATAACCAAAGAGTAAATTACAAAAACCTAACAAGTGAAGTTGCAGATGTTGCCAAGCAACTGAATACTGCTTGCTTCCAGAACATAAAGGAAAAAAACTAACGTCGGTCATAAAGACTATCTAAAGAACAGTGTTTGGTTTGTTTGTTCTGTGCTACTGTAGAACATGGCGCGGTTCAACATTGTAAGCCAGCTCCTCTGTAACATAAAAAACAACTCAATTCTAGTTAAAAAAACACAATGATTCCAATATTCAGGTGATTATAACACCAAAAAAAATACAACTTTTTTAAAAGAGCAAACAATCAATTTGACAACATTGCTGATTTTTAACCGAAAACTATCAAGTCTTAAAAGTAATCAAGGACAAAGACAAAATTTTATATAAAAAAAAATTCTAACTGTTTACAACAATGCATCCAAATGTTCAACTGGCTATTAGTGTGCTGATTACATACATGTCATATCACAACATGGCATGCTTTAATGGATAATAAAAAGAATGAGTATTAACTTTAACTGCTAAATGAATACTAAGTCGACCAATTGATGAAATGTTAATCCATCTGGACTGATCTCTTAAGCACTACCCAAAAGTAGCCATTGTTTCTTTAGTGGATGTTTACTGTAACAGGCAAGCACATGCAACATTAACATCTGAAACAAGTAGAAATAAACTGCTCTAGTCTAAAACATAAATGTTAGTAAACTAAAATATTCACAATAGAGGCAATGTGTTGTGGTAGTTGGGGGCATTTAGCCAGGCACTCCAACATGTCACCTAGGGTCAGATTTCACAATTCACCTTTTGAAATAATAGACTAATGAGGTAAGGATGAAAACTTAACTGTAAGCAAGACAAATGTTAATATTGAAGTGTATTAGGAAAAAACTTTTATTCATGACAGTCAGACCTTTGAACACCCCTTTCAAAATTGCATAAAAACGTAGTGTAACTGGGCAGTTCTTGCAAATGATTTCTGAAAAGAACAGAAAGAGCTCCAGAAGTAAATTCTGTCAACAAAACCACAAGAGAACAGAGGGACGAAGGAGTGAAAAGAGAACATTCTACTGTTGGAGAAATTAATTAAATTAACAGAGTATCCAAAAACTCCTGAAACACTTCTTTCTCCACCTTAACTCCTCCTTGTTGGCTTGGCTGTTGCTGCACCTGCAGCTGTATTGTGAGGACTTTGGGATTGCCCTCCAGCCTGGCCTGCAGCCCGAGCCTGGGTCAGGAGCATGCTATCTGGCTTCCTGGAGCACCAGTCTTTCCTCCAGGGAAGCGTGACCCAGCACCAAGTCTAGCCTGGGTCCTGCTGCTGTTGGCCCCCCTTGGGCTGTCCTGAACCTGCTGGTTTGTGCTGACCTGCTGCTGGGCTTGACCCGCTGGCGCAGCCAGAGCAGCCTGGGAGGCTGATCGAGGAACAGGGGTGATTCCGCTTTGCTTCAACCAACCCTAGAATCAGAATACACAGAATGAGATTCAATTGTGAACCACTCCCAGGAAAAAAAAAACTGACCTAAAAATACAGCTTGTGAAATCATCAAAACATGTGAAACCAGAAAACCCGTCAAGGCGTCACCTTCTGTGGATGCACGGCTGTCAGGTTGCCTTCTGTCTGTTGTCGGCAAGAAGAACCGTGGGGGCCTTACCTGTGTCTTGGCCTGCATCGGCTGGCTGAAGCTGCACCTGGCCCTGAGGCCTGGACGCTGGATGCTGGAGGTGCCTGGGGCTGGACTCTGGACTTGAGTCTGGCCTTGAAAAGCCATCTGCACGCTGAACGCTCTGGCCTTCGCTCTGCTGGGGCACTGGAGGTCAGCAGCATCTTTGTTTGGGAACTGGCCGTTGGGGGGAAGACTGCAGCAGCCTCTGCCACCCTGCAGCACCCACCTTCTTGACTTGAGCTTGTCCTTGGCTCCGTCTGACTTCAAAAAAATGTCCCCCCCCTGCAGTATAGACATGCCAGGTTTAAAGAGGAAAAAGTGCCAGACAAACCACGGATGACCTTTTCACTGGTCTGGCCTGTGCTCCGCTGATACAGTCTGCAGCACCTGGGCATTGCCTGGGGACCTTTGAGAATGACAATTTTCCGCCCGCCTGCAATGTGGTGATGGGCAGCTAACACTGCTGTGGAAGTGAGCTGGTGAGTTATCTGTGTGAAGCTGCGGGTGGCAGTGGTGGTGACTGGGAAAGAAGCCTGGCAAACAGTCCAGAGGTGAACTCAGCAGGACAGTGCTAACTGGTGCCACGCTGGTGTTTGCTTCAATAAGGTATGGTGGTCTGGGCTGGATCTGAGGTAAACGAACTATCAAAACAGGGGCTGGGGCTACAGTACGGGAAGCTGCAGCCTATGGAAAGAAGCTCTGAGCAGTCAGCCCCCCCCGCGCCGCCCCGCCCCGCCCAAAACTGGCACTGGCTGCTGTGTTGGGACTTGAAACGGCGGGTCCGGGAATGGCGGGAACTGCTACAGGAACATTAACGGCCAGTGTTGACCGTGAAGCTCGGACTCCAGCTGGTGGGTCCCCTGGCCAGTCGCAACTTGAGGGCCCTCCTCCAACGGGGTCTGAGGACCCTGAGAGAAGGAATCGTCCGGTGGGCATTCCCAGAGTTAAACAAGGGTGTATCTCAAGAGGTTCCATGAATCGGGTCCGCCATCTTTGCCCACTCCACACTGGGAGACGGGCAGCAAATGTTAAAAAAGACTCAGAGATGGAAAAGCTAAACAGTCGCAGTCCCAGTTCTTTCTCAAACTTTTAAGTAAAACAGCTGGTAAAAGAGGAGAATAACACAGACGTCAATAACGGTAAAAGTATATGAATTGAAAATGATTTAAACAAAACGCTACTCAAAGTAGAGTGCCTCCATTCAATGGTTTGAAAGTTTGAAAGTTGTGTTTTAGTGTACACAGATACGCAGGGGCAGAAATAACAAGGCAATAATCAAGTTCATGTTTAACTCCCCAGCTCCCTAAAAATGTACTTTAATGTACATCAACATCGACAGCATAATTCATCTAACGTTAAGTCCTGGTTCTATAGCAGTGGTGCGTAGGTGCAGTAGTTTGAATGAATCACACAACTTTCATATGAAGACACTGTACATTTATCTTTCTTAACAGAGCTGCTGAACGTGAAAACGACGCAAAAAAGTTTACCTTGTGAGTTTAAAAGTGCATGCAAACCCATCTGCATTGGCCTACAAAGTAAAAATAAACACTTTTAAATGACAAGTAATAACGCCCAAGTAGACTAAAAACCGACCGTCCGGATCAGTGTTTTCGAATATAACCTCTCAGTCGTGCCCACATTGTCGCAGAAAAACGGTTTCAATTTGACATTAGAAGGTCTAGAAAAAAAGAAACTAAATGAACCAAACGAGCCGTTTGCAGTAGTAAGTATACAAAGTAAGAAAGAACCATGGAAGAGTCCAAAAGTGAATGAAAATGAGTGTGGTAGTGATAGTCAGAGCGAGGAAAGGGTACTGAAATGCTGGAGAGGCGGGATTGCTTTCCTCCTCCCCCCGGTCCGTATTGCAGTCTTTCTCAACAAACCCGTCGGCTTAAGCATGTAGACTTGTACCGAGAAACCCCCCCCCCCCCACCACCTTTCTGCAGCACTATCACTCTAGTGGGAGCAAAGAAAAGAAAGCGAAATGCGTCCTCAGACCACTCTGATGGGGAGTTAAGTCCTGCCTCACCTGCTACACTGGAGGATGACTTGACTACGGTACAAATCACATACATGGTCACACAAATAAGATAACCACACTTTTGGAAATTTCCCCCAAATCTTATTAATAGCCGAACACAACCAATAATAGTGTACAGCTCTGTTACTGCTTCACTGTGAAGGCTGCAAAATCCAGAAAGTTAAGTGTCATTAAGTGCCTCCTGTGTTAAAACATAAACATGTTTTTGCATAGCAGTACTTTATTTCTAGTTGTACTGTGCATGTATATTCAGTATAACAGTTTTAGGTCAACAAAAAGAATGGAATGAGAAGGTTTTATGGACAAGTTTTCCACTTTTACCCCTGTCCTGCGGGGTGTTGTTGGCTGTTTGTGCAGCAGCAGGGTCAATTTGGAGCCTTGTTGCCTCCCTTTGAGAGGGTTTGGCACATACCCATTTAATTTTTTAACACATGTTAATTGTTAGAATATTCTTTTGACAGTGTGGTAGAACAAGCCAAAATGTCACACTTGCCGATGTTAAAATGTATATAAACGGTCAGGTAAAGTGAACTGACCTCTGAGCCTATGTTAATTCAAATGTAACTGTAATGTCTACGTTCTATGTTGGACGATAATAATAACAAATGATAAAATTGATTTGCTGTGAAACCTGTTTTAGCTTGGGCAGACTATCAGCACAATTTACAAATCATGCTTCTGTCTGAATTGAAGTGGGAGGGGAAATGCTACACACTGCGATTTAACAGTGAACTGTGTCTGCTCTCATTTTACATTGTGGTGTGTGTGTCCCATGTGGTCTGCTTGAACATTTTGCTTGGAAATTTTGCTTGACCTGTTTCAAAAACACCCACAACTTACACCACTCTCTTTTGGCCAGAAGAGGCGCTCCAATCGTGTGGTGAAGAGAAAAAAATACACAGAGGACCTGGATATCAAGATAACAGATGATGAGGATGAGCAGGAAGATGTAGACGTTACTACAACGGCGGCAGCTGTGGCCTCCATCAGTGGCAGTACAGCAGCGCAGCTTAAACAGGAAATGGAGCTGGATGGTGACGGACAGCCTAGCATGCAGTTCTTTGTGGTGAGTGAAGAACTTATTTATTCTCTGGTGAGATTGAAAGGATTGTTTTAAAGGGTGGATGTTTGTTGACCTACACGCCTTCAATCTTCTTAATATTCAGTGTGTTATATTTTACAGGAAAATCCAAGTGAGGAAGATGCTGCCATTGTAGACAAAGTTCTGTCTATGAGGTTAACCAAGAAGGAAGTATGTTTATCCCATTTTTATTCAAATTCCTTGATTCATATCAACATATTTTGAGAATTATAAAAAAAATCTTTTCTCCCAGGTGTCCCAAGGCCAGTACACCAATGTTGAGGAATTCTTTGTAAAATACAAGAACTAGTAAGTTTCAGTATTTCAATAAATAACTGTGGTCTTGGCACTTGACAGTTTTTATTTCTTGGGGAGACATCCCGATCAGTAAATCTTGACTTTCTTGTTCTCAGTTCATACTTACACTGTGAGTGGGCCAGTTTGGAGCAGCTGGAGAAAGATAAGAGGATCCATCAAAAGATCAAGAGGTTCAAGACCAAACACGCACAGATGAGGCACCTCTTCCAGGAGGTGAGAGGGAAGCACATGCGAAAATCTCATACATCAGATTAAGTTCAATAGCTAGGAATACAACTTTGTACATGTTTCTACTGTCTCTGACCCTGTGGTTCTCTGCAGGAGGAGGAGCCTTTTAACCCAGACTATGTAGAGGTGGACAGGATCCTGGACGTTTCCCATAGTGTGGACAAGGACAATGGCGAGGTGAGAGAAAAAAGATAGGGCTTTCTTGGACAAAAGAGATTAGCCTTTTCTCTCTTTGCTTTGTAGGTTAACTGTTGTGCTGTTTTCTTATTAAAAATATGACCTTAAATACTTTAACTTTATTTCCTTTAGCCCGTTATCTACTACTTGGTGAAGTGGTGCTCTCTGCCTTATGAAGACGCCACTTGGGAACTGAAGGAGGACGTGGATGAGGGCAAGGTGGAAGAGTTCGCCAAAATCCAAAACAGACAACCTCGCCTGAAGAGAGCAGTAAGCCATCTAGTTAATTGTTTTTGTGCACATTCTGAATTTGCTCATAAAATAAATGTGTGAGAAAAAGGCAAATATTTTCACACTTGGCTCAAGTGGAAAACATGATTCATCAGTAAAGAGCAGATGCCGTGAATATGTGTGGAAAAAGAATCTTTAGAATAAAAAATGACACCTCCTTGTGTTTTTATTGAAGCCGTGGTATTGCTGTCCAAGACCAAAAAGTAAGTGGTTCAGCTGGTTCTTATTTTCATCCATTTTTCCTTCTCTCAGGCACGGCCATCTGCCAGTTCATGGAAGAAGTTGGAGGAGTCCAGAGAGTACAAGAATGGCAACACGCTCAGAGAGTACCAGCTTGAAGGAGTCAATTGGCTGCTCTTCAACTGGTACAACAGGTATTCAACACACACAGGCACACACTACACTCCATGGTCACCTGTAGCAAAGTGCCACAGTCAAACTGAATTAGTTTTACTGGGTAAGGTTCTGTAATCAAAGTGGTTGCACTAGCACTGTTGGAATTAGGATTTTGGTAGAGCATAACATCAAGGGACAACATGAAGGCATTGTGGCATCTATGTTCTGGAAAAGGTTTGTCCATTTTGAATTATGCTTATTATTGCTTCACTAATTAACTCCCTGTTTCTTGTCTTTTAGGCAGAACTGTATTCTGGCAGACGAGATGGGTCTGGGGAAGACCATCCAGTCCATCACGCTGCTGTCTGAGGTGTACGCTGCTGGCCTCCAAGGCCCTTTTCTGGTCATTGCTCCCCTCTCCACCATCACCAACTGGGAGAGAGAGTTCTCCACATGGACCAATATGAACGCCATTGTCTACCACGGCAGCCTGGCCAGCCGACAGATGATCCAGCAATATGAGATGTACTGCAAGGATGATAAGGTGGAGTTATTGATTATGATTGCTGTTGATTAAATTTACTGATGAGAATCGTGTCTAATGAAAGCTGACATTCTGCCTACAGGAGCACTTGATCCCAGGTGCCTACAAGTTCGACGCCCTTATCACAACCTTTGAGATGGTGTTATCTGACTGTCCGGAGCTAAGGGAGATCTCTTGGCGATGTGTGATCATTGATGAAGCTCACCGCCTCAAGAATCGTAACTGCAAGCTGTTGGACAGCTTGAAGATGCTGGATCTGGTGAGTTGGCCACAACCGGATTTTGGAGCAAGACCAATGGTCAAAAGTGCATAAAATAATTCATATGTTAAATGTTGCACTTAAGAATATAAAAAATATAGCTTTTCCTTAATGCATTTACTTTGAAGTGAGAAACCAGAAACAGTTAATATGGATATTTGTGGATTTTAGGACTTTTGAACTTTTCTTCATCTCCTTATGTTCTTTTTACTCTTCTTTCTTATTTCCTGGTCCTTCTTCCTGTCCCTTCTCTACCATCTTCCTCATCTTTTATACATCTTCCTGATGAATATTTGGTCGTACCTCTCCATTCTCCCTCTTCTCTGCCTATATTCTATGTGTGTTCTGTGGTTTCTTTCAGGAACACAAGGTGTTGTTGACCGGCACTCCTCTCCAGAACACTGTGGAGGAACTCTTCAGTTTGCTTCATTTCCTGGAGCCTACTCAGTTCCCTTCTGAGACTGAATTCCTCAGAGACTTTGGAGATCTAAAAACAGAGGAACAGGTGTGAAATATACAGTTATGTTGGCACTGACACTAATATTCACACACAACTATGAGTGTTCTTTTTCTTACACATTGCACATTTGACTGATATTGTACAGCTGTCACAATCTTTTGTTTTAAATTAAAACTTTTTTTTTTTTTTTGTTCCACAGGTTCAGAAGTTGCAGGCCATCTTGAAACCTATGATGTTACGAAGGCTCAAAGAGGATGTTGAGAAGAACTTGGCACCCAAACAGGAGACCATCATTGAGGTTGGTCTAAATAGTGCACCTTCAGTGTAAAGAGTTGTGTGAGGAGATCTGCATGACACAAAAATACTTGATTATTGGACTGTGCTTTCTCTCAGGTTGAGTTGACGGATATCCAGAAGAAGTACTACCGGGCCATCCTGGAGAGGAACTTCAGCTTTCTCAGTTTAGGGGCAAACAGTAACAGCAATGTCCCCAATCTGCTCAACACTATGATGGAGCTACGCAAGTGCTGCAACCACCCCTACCTCATCAATGGTATTGCATCACAATATTAACTCAAAGTCTTCTGCAGGCGCTGTTGATAAAATGTATTCTCTCTGCTGGTTTTGGATGGGGTTAAGAACAGCTTGTCGAGGTTGTGTATCTCTTTTTGTTTCAGGCATTTTGCTGTTTGTTATATTCTGGCTTCAAAATGTATAGTTGTGCATTTATTTCCAATAGTAACTTATCTAATTGTGCCGTACTGTCCATATGATCATTTGGAGAGCAAGTCCAAGTATTCTTAAAACTTGGCTGAAAAACAAAAACAGAATTCCAGGTGCTGCCACCAGCCATTATAGTTTGTATTTATTTGGTGCCATTTTGAGCTTATGTTAAATCAGAGGTGGAATGTTTCTCTAAAGCTGTCTGCACACGATAAGCAGTCTAAGCTGCACTTGCTGCAGGTTTGGACAGTGCTGAGCGACCAGCTTCACAGATCATTGCATAATATGCTGTGTAAACAAGAACTGTAAATCACTTATTTTTATAAACAGATTAATTTATCTTTGAGGAACAAAGGCTTCCCTTATGCTTAACCCTCAGTCAGCTTTAATATGACACTGGCAGTGACCATATAAAATCTGATGATGTTAAACGGCTGTCACTCATTCTGTGGGAGAACAAAGGCTAAAGTTGTTGTGAAGTGACTTCTCGTGATGATATGTAGATAGCCTAATCCAGACATTTTACAGTCAGGGATTAGTTGGGGCTAACTCCAGTGTGATGCACATATTAATTTGTTTTTGTTGGTTAACATTCAGCTTGACTACTGGTTGACTTAGCTAGTGTTGAAAGACTAAAAGGTCAAACAATACATTTTCTGATGACATGTTGTAGCTGTTGTAACAATTAGAAACAGTGGAGCATTGAAGTCAACTGTTTATGCAACTGTGTGATATTTTACCCAAGTTGATCAATGCCAATCTAGCATCATAAAACTCTCTGGTCTCTCTTATCCAGGCGCGGAGGAGAAGATCATAGCGGAGTTGCGGGAGGTGTATGACCCCCTGGCTTCGGACTTCCATTTGCAGGCCCTCATTCGGTCGGCCGGCAAGCTGGTGCTACTGGACAAGCTGCTGCCTCGCCTCAAGGCTGGTGGCCACAAAGTGCTCATCTTCTCCCAGATGGTGCGCTGCTTGGACATTCTGGAGGACTACCTCATCAACAAGAGGTAAGAGAGGCCCGGGTGTAATTTAATGCAGCTGATGATTTCAAAAAGGTTATTGCTTTAACTGTTAAAAGTATTATAAGGATGTACGTGATGTGTTCATATAATGTTTGTTTGTTTGTTTTTCACAGATACCTTTATGAGCGAATTGATGGCAGAGTGCGTGGGAATTTACGTCAGGCTGCCATCGATCGCTTCAGCAAGCCTGACTCAGACCGCTTTGTCTTCCTGCTGTGTACCCGTGCTGGTGGCCTGGGTATTAACCTCACTGCTGCTGACACATGTGTTATATTTGACTCAGACTGGAACCCTCAAAATGACCTGCAGGTACAAGATTGTGCTGTACTTGAGTGAGATTGCAAGAACAGCAAACCATCTTTACATTTATTATGTATTTGTTAACAGACTCTTTTTCAAGTGTGTTTTCACATTTTATATCCAAAACTTGGAACCATTGTCATGCTGCTTCTGTAACGGCTGCATAGGTGATTTTTGATCCGTTCTTAATTCTTCTTTTTAGGCCCAAGCACGATGTCATCGTATTGGTCAGTCTAAGGCTGTCAAGGTCTACCGTCTGATCACTAGGAACTCCTATGAGAGGGAGATGCTGGATAAAGCAAGTCTGAAGCTTGGTCTGGATCGTGCTGTCTTGCAGAGCATGAGTGGCAACAAAGAGAGCAATGTCAATGGGGTAAGAAAAAACTACTGGTCATGAACTCAAACTGTCAGATAATTTTTAGGTTGGTCAGTTGTATTACATCTCATTTATTTTGAATAATTTGTTTGGGCCGCTTGTGCAAATGGCTTTCTGCGTCACCTTTAGCAGATCCAGCAGTTCTCAAAGAAGGAGATTGAGGACCTGCTGAGGAAGGGAGCCTACGCTGCCATCATGGATGAGAATGATGAAGGCAGTCGCTTCTGCGAGGAGGACATCGACCAGATCCTTCAGCGAAGAGCCACCACCATCACCATTGAGAGCGAGGGCAAGGGCTCCACGTTCTCCAAGGCCAGCTTTGTGGCATCTGAGAACCGCAATGACATTGCACTCGATGACCCAGAATTCTGGCAGAAGTGGGCCAAGAAAGCCGACATAGACATGGACACCCTCAACAGAAAAGTATGTTGTTGTTTTTTTGGGTGAAGATCATCCAAAGCTTACACTGCTGATTGGCACAGCATGTAATTTACAGTATATTTTACTAGTGCAATTGCTTAGAGTAATATGTAATTGACTGAAAGTTGCTTCTCCCCCCTTAGAACACCCTTGTGATCGACACTCCTAGAGTCCGCAAGCAAACTCGTCAGTACTCCACTTTACGAGGTGAAGGTGGAGACCTGTCTGATCTGGACAGCGACGATGAGTATCCACCTGCCAATTCCAGACAGTCGCGTGCCTCCCGACGCACTGACCGCCACAGTGGAGGTGGTTATGGCCGCACTGACTGTTTCCGGGTGGAGAAACACCTGCTTGTCTATGGGTACGTAGACTTTATGTGCTAGATATTAGATTTCAAATATCAATTTGTCAGTTCTTAACTCCTGTCCTTTGTTTTCACTCTGTGACCTGTTTTGTTCTTCTCCAGTTGGGGTCGCTGGAGGGACATCTTGTCCCATGCCAGATGTAAACGTCGCCTAAGTGAACGCGATGTGGAGACGATCTGCCGCGTCATCCTTGTCTTTTGTCTGCTCCATTACCGTGGAGATGAGAACATCAAGAGTTTTATCTGGGAGCTCATCACACCACCAGAGAATGGGCGTGAACCCCAAACACTACTCAACCACTCTGGTAGGAGCTGCACACAGATCATTAAATGTTTTAAATCGGATGTCAAGTTTCTCAAACTGAAAAAGTGGATAAATGAGCTTGTTTGCAGGAGAGAAAATGCATTCCGTTTTCTTTCATAGCCTGGCTTCTCATATACAGTAGTCAGTGCTGTTGTATTCCTGAAGACCTTTTCTGTTGTCTTTTTACAATGTCTATTATTGAAATGTTTAACTGTCTAATTTTGTTCTCTGCCTAGGCCTGTCTATCCCCGTTCCAAGAGGCAGAAAGGGTAAGAGAGTAAAGGCCCAGAGCACATTTGATGTTCAGAAGGTGGAGTGGATCCGCAAGTACAACCCTGACACTCTGCTTCTGGATGACAGCTACCGCAAACACCTCAAGCACCAGTGCAACAAGTCAGTGAAGCCCAACCAGCTGTGTTTTGTGAAAGTTTTTTAATTGCTGTTCAAACCCTAAAACTTTTCTTCTCCCACTTCAGGGTGTTGCTGAGGGTGCGCATGCTCTACTACCTGAAACAGGAGGTGATTGGTGAACATGCTGACTCTGTCCTTAAAGGGGCTGACATCAGGTATCCAGTACATTAAGCCAAATGTACACACGCACGCACGCAAACACACACACACACACACACACACACACAGACTCAATTACTATAATTCTTTCCAGGGATGTTGATATCTGGATGCCTGAGATGGAGCAGCAGGAGGTACCTGCAGGATGGTGGGATGCCGAGGCAGATCGCTCACTGCTTGCTGGCGTATTCAAACATGGTAGGTTTTCTCAAAGCATTTATGAGAATAGGGTGAGGATTTGTTATGGTTTTTAAAAAAAAAGTGTTTCTAGCTCAGTGGTGGTCACCGTGATCGTGACATGTCAAGCTGCTCCAGTTGCCTCAGATCTGGAACTTCTTATTGCACAATCTTTTTTTGTCATTGAACAGTCTTGACTCTCTCTGTTACCAGGTTATGAGATGTACACCACTATGCGTGCTGATCCATGCCTCTGCTTCCTGGAGAGAGCTGGTCGGCCTGACGACAAGGCCATTGATGCCGAGCAGCACACTGGTGACGGCGAGATGGGAGACGAGTGAGTGATCTTTGCTAACAGGGCCAGTTAAAACTTATTTGCTTGTAGATTTATAGCTGACTCAGAAGTTAAGTGGACATTGTAACATTGTAGATGTTTTCATATTTATGTCAGATGCAAAGTTTCAGTGGTGGTTTATTGTTTGTGTTGCACAGTGCTGACTATGATAAGTATTCAGAGGACCCGGAGTTCAAGCCCGCGTCGAGACACGGCAAAGATCTTTTTGAGGAGGTACGAACCTTAGCAATCACATTGAAGTGGTTCTGTCTGCACTAGTCGATTAGCAAAGACTTGGGTGAATATTTTGGAACCAAGCAATAGGGGTAAACACTTTAACAAGTTTCTATTTGCCCTTCAGGCTGACTCTATGAACGTGGACGATGAGATTTCTGTGGAAGACAAGGCGGGGCCAGTGATCATAGAAAGCTACTCCAGCCAGAGCGGTTCGTGTGACTGGCCCTCCAGCTCATCACTTACAGCGCGGATGCGGCGGCTCATCACAGCTTACCAACGCAGCTACAGGCAGGAGCAGCTGAAGATTGAAGCAGAGGCAAAGGGTGACCGCAGGCGAAGGCGGTGTGAACAGGCCAGCAAACTGAAGGAGATCGCGCGGCAAGAGCGCCAGCAGAGGTTGGCTGGTGTTACATTATTTCTAATTATTTCAGTCTTATTAGTGTCATATATAAAACACATTGACACATCCATAAACATTACAAATATTCCAAGTTTTCCTTCTCATTTTTCACTTCACTTGCCTTCTGTCTGTCTCCAGGTGGACACGTAGGGAAGAATGCGACTTCTACCGCGTGGTATCGACTTTTGGTGTGGAAAAGATAAAAAAGGAGCCAGGTCTTCCTGAGGGCGGAGACCCTGATTATGACTGGAACCGCTTCCGAACCTTTGCTCGTCTGGATAAAAAAACAGATGAGAGCCTCAGTCGATACTTCCGCTCTTTTGTTGCCATGTGCCGGAGAGTTTGCCACCTGCGCCCAGGCCGCGGTGAAGGTAATTACTGCGACACATGCTGTCAAAAAAGACCCGACTTAGCTACTTAAGCAGCAGTTAAAATGTCAAATGAATCATGAATCATCATTTTCAATCCAACACCATGTAATTAGTGGACTACTAGGGACTCCAATATTTATGCATATGCCATTTTTGTTAAATCCAGGCTTTTATACTAAACTAAATATGTATACAGGTTACAGTCACCTAACAGGAAATATCTCTCTCCTCATCCTTTTCAGATCCGTCAGAGCTTTCCCAGACTGTGGCCCCCATCACTGAGGAGCGTGCTTCCCGTACTCTATACCGTATTAGCCTCCTGCGTCGCCTTCGTGAGCGAGTACTGCCCCATCCCTGCCTGGAGGAGCGTCTCCCTCTGGCTCCAACCAGCTCTGAGCTGCCCACTTGGTGGAATATACCGGACCATGATCGTCAGCTGATGCTGGCCGCTTCACTGCACGGTGTCAGCCGCACTGAGCTCTCCATCTTCTCAGACCCACAGTTCACCTTCAGTCAGGCTCGGGAAGAGTTTATCCAGAACCAGCAGGCCCCACCACCTCCACCTCCACCTCAGGCACCACCCACCATACCCATCATGCACCTCAGCCAGCCGAAGATTGAGGAGGAAGTGCCTGGTGTGAAAGAGGAGGGAGTGGAAGAGGACGCCCGGTTGCTTGGAGGTCAAATCAGTGCTGAACTGCAGAGTACGCCCTTGAGTCACCATGACGGCAAAGCACGAGGGCAGGGCTGGAGCTTGAAGAGGAGCAGGGTGAGGGTCGGGAAAACAGAAGGAGGGAGGAAGGGAGAGGGAGGGTCGGATTCTGATTCAGATTCTGATTCAGGCTCATCGTCATCCGAGCGATCGGGCAGCAGTGATGAAAGTGGAGAGAGTGAGGAAGAGGTGGAAGGAGGTAAGTTGCTGGTGAAAGAAGAGAAAAATGCTGAATGCTGCAAGAACAAAAACAACAAGTTAAACTATTTTTTTCCTTTTTTTGTTAGCAGGCATGAAGCTGTGTGACGTGGATGAAGAGAACAGTTTACTCTCTATGACTCCATCTCAGGATGGCATTCCTCCTCCTGATCCTCTCAGAGTTGATTGGCCCAAGGTAATTCATGTGATTCACATTTCAAAGCATTTCTCTAGAAAAAATAAAGCACTTGTTTGTTTCCTTGTTGTGAATGACTGATACATGGGGCTTCCTTTTTGTCTCAGGACCGCGTGTTGATCAACCGTCTAGACAATTTGTGTACGATGGTGATCACCGGTCAGTGGCCCTCAGGGCGGCGCTACGTGCCTGAGGCTCAGCTCAACCCGAGCTCAGAGCTGGTGGGAGACGAAATGGCCTACACAAGGGTGATCCGTAAACCCGGTGGCGTGCCTGGTGGCCCTGGGGCAGATGGAGACGATGGAGAGTTCACGGTCAAGCTCCTAAAGGTGAGAATATACTGGAGGAAGAAATAATATTTGAGGCATTGGTGGGAAATTGAACATACACAAAAACTGACATTCTCTTGCTTTTATTTGCTAATAAAATTATTTCTATTATTATATTGTTTATATAAGTGGGTTTGGTGCAGCTGTGATTTGCACTTCACAGCTAAATTGCTCTTTTCTCTCTCACCCTGTCAGGAGGAGGGGCTGAAGCTGACCTTCTCTAAGCAGGCCCTGATGCCCAATGGGTCTGGGGGAGAGAGCAGCAGCCGCAAAAGGCGCAAGGACCAAGAGGTACATGAGTCAGGTTTCCATGTTCCTCATTAGTACCAGTAGAGTTGGATGGAATGGAGTTGGAGTTGGATATAAAAATAAAAGTGCTCTGGATTGAGTTTGAAAGCAGTCTGTTTTTTGTCTGTCTTTTAGTTATCCGACCCAGATGGACTCGATCCACTGGAGCGTACTCCTCGACGGAGGGACCCTCCCACATGGTTGAAGGAGAACCCTGATTATGAGGTGGAGGGAGACATGCTGGAGGTACATTCATGACACTTAAATAAATAAATTGACAGATAAATTGATGAACAGTTGGTCCTATTTTATAACTGATATTTCCCTGCCTAACAAAATATCTAACCAAGTTTTGTTTCCACAGCTTCTTGTGAACAGGAGCAAGAGGAAGAGGAGGAGGAGGGCAGATAAAGCCCTGACAGGCAGTGAGAAGGTCAAAGTCATTAACATGAGGACAGGAAAGAAGGTGAGGCATACAGTAAATTGGTATCATGCACTTGGTTTATGGCTGTGAGTCATCTTACTCTAACAAACATCCAAATGTTTCTCCTCTTTAGGTTGGAGCTGCTTTCTGTCCGATGCTGCAGGACCTGAGGGAATATCTGGAGGAGAATCCTGATAATGCTGTAGCACCCGATTGGTCTGAAACTGTTCGTAACTCTGTACGTACTCAACATATTGTATTATTTTAACACTTGCTGTACAGTGTTGTTTAGAAATTTGACTTTACTTTTTGTTTTCTCTGATCCTCTATTTAGAGCACAAGAGAGAATAAGTGCTGCCTGTGTTAGAATCTGCATGTAGCTGTCACTATCTGTTTAACCTTCAAAACACTTAAAGTTTAGTTCAAATGTTGTTAAATGAAATTGTATGGTGGTTTGCTGGAAGAGAATTGATGGCATTTAGGTACAGAAAAAGGTTTGGGGCTCCCTGGTTAGCTCACCCGGTAGAGCTGGCACCCCATGTACCAAGTCCTTGCTGCAGCACCTACGGGTTGAGCTCCAACCTGTAGCCCTTTGCTGCGTGTCATCCCTTCTATGTCTCTCCTGCCCTTTCCCATCACTCTTCAGCTGTCACTAT